TAACACCCCTAATTGTGCATCGCTTTTATTCTGTCCTGAAGACAAAGATGTCTAGCCCAACGGGCTAGCGAGTTTCTTTTCGATCTAGGTGCTCTCTAATGTATTTATGAGTTAGATACCCTTAAGTTCAGCGAATCATTGTGCATAAAAGAGTAAAAGACAACTTTCGCCAAAGGGGTGGTGTGTGTGTACAGTGACAACATAATAGTAAAAAAAGAGAGAATGATCATACATGTAGGTTTTACCTCTTATTTATAAGGTTTACCTATAGATATTAGAATTGTGAGCCTTTTGTGTCTCTTCTAGTAGTCCAAGCCCTTGTTTAATGTTGTCGTATTATGATTGATATCTTTGATAGATATCCTCCTTTGATTATATCAGATTTTATTTGCATTGCTCCTTATGGGGCCATATGATAAATGGGCCTCATATATGAGTCCATAACAGTTGCCCCTCAGCCAAGCAGTCTGGGTGTCCAGGCTGCCGAGGTGCATATAAGTTTGAAAAATTACCCTAATTTCTATAGGTTTCTATATATATCCGGGTTTCATCAACAATTATCCAGATTTTTCCGTTGAGAAATATCCAGGTTTATTATATTAATTCTAAGGGATAATGTATATGTCCTCTATCCTATCCTGGCAAATTGAATCGTCAGAATGTCGAGATATAATTCATATTAATTTAATCCAGATTGCCGAGATAATGTATCTGATGACGAATTGCGCTCCAGGTCCAACTTTTCATCAACCTAGTTCAACTTCTCCTTGTAAGACTTATCGTCACCTTATTGTGCAAGAAAGTATCTCTCTTGAAACCCGGTTCTTAATCTTTACGTGATTTCTTATGTTTGGATTCCATATAAACCGAGTTAATTCTTAGGTTTTTCCTGTTTGCAAAACCATTTTCTAAGATAAGAGCCACATACTATTCAAATAATGATGAGATCCTTACACGTGGTGGCTTTTGCTTTTGCTAACATGTTGTAGCCAACATATGCCGTCTTCGCATTTCGTGCGCATTAAATGCACGAATCATTTCACCTATTTAATCATTACTTTTGGGGTGAATTGGCGCTTATGCCCCCTGAACTTTGCTATTTGAAACTTCAGCGGTTATATTTTTCTATTCATATTCCCCTCCATTTTGCCACTCAAAGGTTGATATCTCATTTGCATTTATGAGAAGTCTCCACTCTACTCTGTGTTTTTTCTTTGTTTTCATTTCTGAGAGGTCATCTGATTCAAAGTGCTTTATTACTCTTTAAACAGTTTAAACTCAGGTATCTTCTATGATCTTTTGAATCTTTCTTTGTCTTTGGCATATTTTAAGCATTTGCAGTAATTTGCATTCTTGAATCTTCGCATGCTCTTTTTTTACTACATATTCTAATACTTAAATCTCTTACTGCTTTCTGCCCCCACGTTGTTCTTTATTCATTGGGTTTCTTTGAACTTCTATAGTATTTATGGGTAAACACGTATTGTTTTTATGAGGTTTCTGGGTATACATGTATTGTTTTTCTGAGGTTTCTGGGTAAATCAACCACATTACACTTCTCTCCATTTTATACAAAACACTTTGAGTTTTACTCTGCTTCTTATGACGATGAGAAAGAAAAGAAATTTCTCTCGGTCTGACCGTGATGATACGACCAAGGATGATGAAGCTGCATTTCTTCAAAGCATTCCTCCTGGACTCCGATTTTGGCTTTTTGGTGTACCACGAACCGAGGAAGAAAAGCAAGAAGCCTTGCTTTGGGGTTATCGTTGTGGAGGTAGTAGGAAAAGATCCAGATTGTCTAATTCCAAGAGCCGAGGTCGAGGTCGTTCTATTAGGAACACTCAAATTCCCTGGTATTTTCCAAGAACTAGATTAAATCCTTATCAGATAGTTTCCCATCAAACCTCGGATGTAGCAACTTCTTCACAAGTTCGCTCTCCAAAATCTTCAAAATCTAAATCGGTTAACCCCTACTATTCTTCTGTCTTTTTGAGTTATAAGCTTATAGAGAGAGGTTGCGACTCTTTAGCTGAGTCCACTTTGTCAAGCTGTCGTCATGGAAATATTCCAGGATCAAACTCAGCTTCTGGTGATGCAAATCATCTGATTTCGATATGAATAAATCTTCAAGTTTATCAACTAGTGATTCTTCAACTAGTAGCTATTTTGATTTAGGTATGTCTATCAATTTTCTCTGATTTTGACTTTCCTTGTTTTATGTATTTATGGGGTCATCTCCTTCAGAAATTATAGGGGAATCTCGTTCTACTGAGTAGGATTCTTGGGTTATTGGGTTTTGACTTTCCGTTCACAAGATTGTTTTTTCTTTGTTTAAAATCTTGACTGAATACATCGGATTTAGACGGACTCTAAAACAAATCTTTTAAAATCCTAATCGAATACCATGTGATTTTTTTACAATATTTTAAAATTCTAATTGAATACCAACGAATTTTCTTGTCCAAAAATAATCCATTAAAATTCTTTAAAATCTCAATCCAATACACCCCATTTAATTTAATTTTTTTATAAAACAAAAAATATAAATATATGCAAAGCTCAATCTTAGTTAAGTGGTCTAGTTTTAAAGAGTATTAGAGAAATATAAAAATTAGTAATGTAGTCTTGCACAATACCTTCAATTTTTGGGTTGAATGAGTTTTTTTATATGATATCAAAGTCTCCGCAACTGTGGGTTTATGAGTTCAATCCTCACGATCCTCATTCTACTAATAAATATAATTTAATATTATGGAATTTTTTAACAGTGGATCAAGTTAGCAAGATTATGTGGAGTTTGGAATTGAAGGAGCAACATCATATCAATTCGACCAATGAATAAAATGAGAAAGATATATATTTCATAATTGTAAAGGTTGTGGTGGTGATTGTGGTCGAGAGATCATAAGAAAAGACCTTAATATTCTCCAAATCAAAAAAGAAGACAGATAATTCAAGGGTCCCAACTGCTCACGATGAGAGATGCAGTACATGCCAAGCAGCACATCTGTCTTCTAAATTATATCACTCGTCAACATTTTTTTCCAGCTGGAGGGAGTCATCTTCTAAACTTTATGAATTATTAAAAAAAAAGAAGAACACGACATATCAATGGCGGCCACCAATTGCTGAGATAAATTGAAGGACATTTACATATTTTACATCACACTATGTTTTAAATGCGTGGTAGTGGCGTTGGTCAAACTGGGCCTCCTTATCACTTATTAATTATTATTCACCCGTGTCTGTCACGAGGTTGTAACTAGCGAATTTCGGCATCAAATCATTTCAGGTTCTGCAGAAGATAGATAGCTATATTTAGATTTGTAAGTGTTGCATAAAATCTTGTTTTTTTTTTTTAAAAAAAAAAACAATTCTAATTACTGCTTTAAGACGAATCAGATTTTCAGATGTCCTTAAGAGTTCGACTCTTTAAGCTGCGTATAAAGCTAATCCGAAATTACGATATTTCTTGCCTCTTCCTAATGTGGCATTTGGTGGGACTCAAACCGTGATTTTTGTCCTCACTTTGCTTAGTTTCCCTGCAACCAACTTAGCTGCCCCACTTGGGTACTTGTTCTTTTTTTATCTCTGACACAAACAAAACCAATTAAGATGACGTTGGACTTGAGATGAAGAGTGTAATGGACAACGATGGAGGAGCATAGGTGCAAATTTTGAACCGTCACAAATTGAGTATTCATGATAAGAAAATAAAAGTAGAAGGCGATGGCTTTCATATTAGGACGATGATATTTTAATTTCCGTCCACTCTCGTACACGTTCTTATCTTAAAGCGTTTTTGCGGCCGCTTTTTTGCAGTGAACAGAATAAAGGATTGTATGTGTGCCTTTATAACTTAATCCAAGAGAGACAGCTAAAGTCCAAGCCAATATTACCAAGGATCTTAGCTTCTTTGGTCAATTTTAGTTTTATAGTTGCTTGCTGCTACAAAAGAACATCGCCAACTTGATACATTATTACAACAACGTCGGCACAATGTATGATTTGGAATATTTAGGTTGTATACTTGTTCGGTATTTTTCTTTTATTTTTTTCCATAGTATAATAATGAATAGCAACATAAATTGGAGAATAAAATATGTCCGTTAAGTGTGCAAAATAATAATGGCAAACCTGTTGGCATAAAGCACAAAATTTGCAATCTGCAATCTGCAATCTCTCTCTCTCTCTCTCTCTCTAATAATAACCTTTGCTCCCCATTACTTGGATTTCTCTAATAATCCTAAACAAGTCAGAAGCAACAGAACAGCAATTCACGCCCACAGTGGACTTTTTTATGTAGCATTTTTTCTTTATTATTATATCTATATTTATTCGTTTATTCGCAAAAAGATGACTCAAGTGGTAAATAATCTTATACTCAATAGCTGAATGATCAGTGTAACATCAATGGTTTAAACTCCAAAATATATATAAAGAAAGATAGCACAATACTCCAATTGATGATTAAAAAACTTTTAAGACTAAAAAAATTCACCTTCATTTTTTATGGGTAACATTATATTCACCTTTAAGCTTGTTAAAAATCAGACTGAACATTTAAGCATAATCTACACATGCAAACAAATAACACTAAGGCTTTATGTGACCAAAGGGGTTGTAAGCTGTAACCTAATCCACACTAAGATCATCCTTGCTCTGACAGGCTAACAGCTCAGTTCAGAGTATGGCTATCGAATCACTGCCATTTGAGTCCGATCCATAGCAATGCACGCTGCTAGTTACAGTGCAATCTCTAACCCATAACTAACAAGCCAAGAGTCATGGGTAATGTCGTAATGAGTACGAAAACTCATTTCCAGAAGCAGAATTTCCATGCAACTATTAGTTACACACCTCTAATATTGAACATTAAGAAAATTTGTACAGGTAAAACCAAGGAATGAAAATGGCGTCTACACTAACTTCCTCTAGGAGATTTGAAGTGAAAATTTTGCACTCCTTTTCCATTATGACCTATACCAAATGCCTCTTGGGATTCACCTCATTCATTAGTGATAGTACAGGTATGATCTTTACAAAGATAAACAGGAACTGGTCACTTAAAATACAAAAATAACTTCGGATTGGGGGGGAAAAGAAAGACTCGATCAATAGCCTTTAAATTACAATAACCAAAAGACAATCAGCATTGAGTGGCGAGCAATCAAAAAACCACCCAATTTATGCTGAAACTGTAAATTAAATTCATGTTGAGTTTCAAGTAAAGGTGAAGTACAGAACAAATTCATGTCCTTTCCCCATATGAGTTTTCAAGGACCGGCACTTCCGGTCCATATATTACACAACAACGTTCATTAAATGAACCAACCATCCTAGATGCTACCTCCTTAAAGAACACTGATGCAATCTGAACCAGAAAATCACAGTAAAAAAAAAATATTTGATTAGTCCTCAACAGAAAAATGCAAATTATAACCACAAATAAATTTAAAAATCAATGCATAAATCAGACAAAGAACCCAACCCATAATAAAATATATAATAGAAAAGCGCTTGTCATGAACCAACTCTCACAAGAGCTTAAGTTGTTGGGTGAAAACACATTAATGGTTTTATTTATTATATGTCAAACATGCCCCCTCACACAAAAGCTCTTTAGGCTTGAATCATGGACAAAGCATAGATCTACCTACCTTGTGTTCAAATTCAACTTTTTATTTAGAATAATGGAGATGGTAAGAGTTGAACTCTAGACCACTTAATCATGGAAACTTTGATATCATGTCATGAACTAACTCTCCCAAAAACTTAAGCTATTAGTGTTTGGTAAGGACACATGTATGATTTTATATTACATGTCTAACACCTTTGTAAATACTTCTAATATCTAACAGCACCAAGAATCCACAAAACTATCAAAGCAATTAAATTTATAATAGAGACCATATAATATAAAGTAAACAAAATTACGTATCCAAGTGCTCTAGTAATTTATCTTTGAAAACAACTCAGCTCTGTTTCTTAAAAAAAGAAAGAAAATATTAAAGCAGGAATACGAATATCCAACTCTACTTAACCATGATCGGTCAGCAAATAATTCATGCTAACACTTCAGTTAATAGAAGTTAATACATCAGAACAAGGAATATAGTAGTTGATATACCCATCAAGAGGAATAAAGAGCAGAAAAGAACAAAGGGGCCACATATTTAGGAAGGTTAAACATAAGGCATTGACCTTTTCAAAATGAACTAAGATCTCAGGTCGATTCATAAGTGGAATCAAGATGGAAAAGTAACTAAACAATAAAAAAGTTATTGAAGAATTAAAGAATTGTATCCTGACCATTTACCCGAAAGGACTGACGAGGAATCAAGGATATAACTCCATAATAGATATCATGAAGTAATAATTACAAGCAGGAAGAGAAAATATGCCTGATGACTAAACAGCAGGTAGATTATTTCTTATGCAGTGAACAGTTTGACTATTTGGACCATGTGCAACCATTTAGCATGTTTAGACAAAAAAGTCCACATAACGAATGTAAAATTATTGAAATCTTGACTCTTGACATGTTGAGACCAATTTAGAAGTAACATAAGCAGCCTAAGCAAAACCTAAGAGTTATCTTCCAAATCAACTTCATTGCATTAACTTTAAAATCCTAAACTTTACCTCATTTTTCTGCATCATATACTAAACACATTAACCGTACCAAAATGGATTGAGTTTTGTCTTCTATACTTGATAAAACATAGCAGTGGCAGAGACTGTATGTTTGATAGATAAACAATGGGAAAAAGTATTAGTTATGAATTCTGTGTTTAAACTGGAGAAAACAGAACACTGAGAAACACTGTATTATTGGTGAAGATAATAATAATAAATATAGGTGTGGCGTATCACCTTGCCGTTGTCAGTTTTAAGCAAATTATTAAACCCCTAAGGAAGTTCAAAGCTCCCTGAAAAGTCAAGTCTTTCTTAGGCTGCAGTGCTTGTGTGGTGCTTTGTTCATAATCGAATGCTCAACTGTTTTTACTATCACATTGTTCAGCCTTTTTGGGGAATGGTGGGAGTGCCCTAGGTACTCACAAAATTTTGGTGGTTAAAATGTACAAAACCGCCTCCAACTATGGGTTATTAAAAAAAATAAAAAAACTTTATGGTTTAAAACTCACTAATCCAACTACTAACACATTCAGAAACGGGTACATAAATTATTTTTTATCTAAAGAATTTTGTATTTCTTTGTATTGATTTGAATAAATTACATAAGGAGTATTTATACCAGAAAGAATCGCTAAGAATGACTCAGCGATGACTAATCAATCCTAATCAATCCTAATTAATAGGAAATAAAAACGGAAATATTTGAATCTTGATTTCCTACACTCCCCCTCAAGTTGGGAGATAAATGTTGATCATTCTCAACTTGCCAATCAAGTCCTCGAATGCTGGACAATGTAGGCCTTTTGTAAGGATATCTGCAGTCTGCTCTTTGGTAGGAACATACATCATACGCACACTTCCATCATCTAATTTTTCTTTGATGAAGTGGCGATCAACTTCCACGTGCTTTGTTCGATCATGATGCACAGGATCTTGAGCAATGCTGACAGCTGCCTTGTTGTCACAATATAGTTTTATTGGTAGGGAATATGAAATCTTCAACTCTTGAAGAAGTCTTCTCAACCAGATTCCTTCACAAACTCCATGAGCTAAAGCTCAAGATTCTGCTTCAGCACTACTTCTTGCAACCACCGTTTGTTTTTTGCTTCTCCAAGTAACAAGATTTCCCCACACATAGGTGCAATAGCCTGAGGTAGATCTCCTGTCTACTGATGAGCCTGCCCAATTTGCATCAGTGTAGATTTCAATCGTCCTTTTATACCCCTTTTTAAAGAATAATCCTCTTCCTGGAGTGTTCTTGAGGTATCTGAGCACCCTATAGACTGCACTAAGATGCTTCTCCTTGGGTGAGTGCATGAATTGACTAATCATACTCACCGCAAAGGCAATGTCAGGACGCGTGTGAGATAAGTAAATTAGTTTGCCAACCAATCTCTGATATTGTTCTTTATCCACTTCATTCCCATCTTCAATACCTAACTTGGTATTAGGTTCCACAGGTGTCTCAGCAGGCTTACACCCTAACATTCCAGTTTCCAACAAAAGATCTAGAACATATTTCTTTTGTGTGAGAGTGATGCCTGTTTTGCTCCTAACAACTTCCATACCAAGGAAATATTTGAGAGTGCCAAGATCCTTTAATTCAAACTGAGCTGCTAGATACTTCTTCAAGGAGTTCAATTCTTCAATATCGTCACCTGTAAGAATTATGTCATATACGTACACAATAAGAATAGCAATTTTACCATCCTTAGAGTGTTTGTGGAAGAGAGTGTGATCAGTCTGTGCTTGAATGAAGCCTCTTCTTTTGACAGCTTGTGTGAATTTGTCAAACCATTCTCTAGGAGACTGTTTCAACCCATATAGAGACTTTTTTAGTTTACACACTGATCCATTTCCCTTTTCAAAACCAGGTGGAGGATCCATATAGACTTTTTCATGTAAGTCACTATTTAGGAATGCATTCTTCACATCCAACTGTTGCAAAGGCCAATCTAGGTTGGCAGCAAGTGATAAGAGAATTCGAATGGTATTGACTTTAGTAACTGGAGCAAAAGTCTCATGCTAATCTTATCCCATGAGTCTGTAAGAACCCCTTTGCAACCAATCTTGCCTTGTATCTGTTGATGCTATCATCTGCATTAAATTTTATTGTAAACACCCATTTGCATCTTACTGCCTGTTTTCCCTTTGGTAGGGTCACTATCTCCCAAGTTCCATTTCTTTCTAAAACATTCATTTCTTCAAAGACAGCATCCCTCCATTTTTTATCATCGAGAGCCTCATGTATATTTCTCGGTATCTTTGTACTATCCAACATAGTATTGAAAGCACGGAACCCTGGGGACAACTTTTCATATGAAATATGATTAGAAATAGGATGAGTAGTACAAGATCGAGTACCTTTTCTGAGAGCAATAAGCAAGTGTAGATCATTTTTATCATGGCACTCAAGTGTTGGGGTGCTGGAACTAGAACATGGTTCAGAATCCTAGCAATGTAGAGGCTCTGGGTTATTTACACTTTGAGGAGGCTTTCGCCTGCTATAAACTTGTCCCCACTTTGAGGAGGCTCCGGATGGTGAGGATTCTGTAGCTCCCCCTATTTCCAATAGTAGAGGTAATACTGTGGCATCAGTAGGTTCCCATGACTGATCTTCATCTGCTCCTATAGACTCCCCCTGAAGAGAAGTCAAGGGAAAGAAATGTTGAGTCTCAGAAAAGGTGACATCCATAGAGACAAAGACTTTACGAAGAGAGGGAGAATAACACTTATAGCCACGTTGAGTAGGAGAATAACCAACAAAGACACACCAGAGAGACTTAGGATCAAGCTTAGACCGTTGATGAGAGGGAATATGGACAAATACAACACAACCAAATAACTTGAGAGGTAGGGAGGAGACGCCTCGGAAGGAAGGGAAGGTGCGGAAAAAACTAGAAAGAGGAGACTGAAATTTGAGAATGCGAGATGGCATTCGATTGATCAAATACGAGGCAGTGAGAACGGCTTCCCCCCAAAGGTATTTAGGAACACTTATAGTGAACATAAGAGCCCGAGCAACTTCAAGGAGATGTCGGTTTTTTCTTTCCGCAACTCCGTTTTGTTGGGGTGTGTCAGGACACGAGCTTTGGAGAAGGATGCCATGTTGGGAAAGATATTCTCCAAGAATAGAGTTAAAATACTCTTTGCCATTATCTGTACGCAGAATTTGTATAGCAACTTGGAATTGGATTTGAACCATGGCATGAAATTTTTTAAAACTGGATGCAGCATCTGACTTGTCCTTTAGAAGGTATACCCAACAAACTCGGGAATGGTCATCAATGAAGGTAATGAACCATCGAGCAACTGAAATATTCTTTACACGGGCTGGACCCCATATGTCACTATGAATTAAAGAAAATGGGGAAGAATCATGATGAACTTTAGAAGGATAATGAACACGAGTATGCTTGGCAAGTTGACAAATATTACAAGAAAACAAACTAGGACTTTTATTAATAAATATGTTTGGTAACAACTTCTGAAGATAATTAAAATTTGGATGGCCTAGCCTACGATGCCACAGCATAACATCATTACATGAATCAAAAGGAAACATAGAGTCTTTTTCCACAAAAACAGCTTCATGAGTCACATCCTCAAAGTAGTAAAGTCCACCATCCTCTCTAGCACTGCCAATCATCCTCTCCGAGTCCTGTTCCTAAAACACAACCATGAGGAAAGAATTTAGCAAAACAATGCAACTCAGAAGTCAGCTTGCTTATGGAA